AGGATCACGGGAGCATGAATCAGAGGTCAGAGAGAATGTCGGAGGAGTCAGAACAGGGAGAACAGAGGCTCGTGATTGGCTGATCTCCAGCCTCCATCTGCTTCCTGATGCTGATGACTGACAGATGCTGTGAAATCACATTTCCCCACAGAACTCACCCTGTTTACCTGGTTGTTTTTTGTTTATTTACAGGACTGTACTTTTTTCACTCGGAAGGAAATCCTGAGGTGAGTTCACATATATATAGCTGAGCTTCGCCTGTGGGCGAAGCTCAGCTCTGAGCGTGTATGTGTGCTGCGCTTGACTTGCGGGTCCACATTCACTGTTGACGCAACGGGAGCGTGCGTTGACACCACTGTGGTGAGATGCGTGTCGCTCCTGCCAAGAGCGAGATACGTTACTGGGCTCGTACAGCTATCTCACGTTTATGTTGACGTGAGCGGTGAGCGCTGAAAACTGTGCGACTGTGCGTGCCTTCATAAAGCAGTGCCGTATGGGTGAATGGTGCTTGCGCAGCGGGAGCACGCATTGGCACTGCTACGTGAGGGGTGTGCATCTTGGGCTGAAAAAACAAGTTATTCCACTGAAACTCATTGTGCGGGCCACATTCACTTATGACTGTTGTGTCATGCGGGCGTCTCGCCTTGTTGGAGCGGCGGTGATTGAAACAGCCTTAAAAAAGGCCACCGGCTCATTCGTGTGGGGTGTGTGTGACGGAGCCGCTGTCAGGTCATCCGAGCTGACAGACTGGCTAAAAGACACTTCATCATAAAATGATGTTTTATTCCCACATTATGTCATCTTTACACACATCCAGCAAACCGTCATACAGTCATCTCCCCTTGAGCTCTGTGGTTTGTTGTCCTGGGGGCCCCCTGTTGGCGATCTCTGGGAAAAGTTGAACTTCCGGATGCCGGGGATGTCTGACGGGCGGGGCTGGCGTAGCAGAGCTGGAAGGCGTTGTGCAGCCTTGGAACATCTTGAAAGTGAACTCTCGTTGATGAGGGCCCTCCAACAAAAAGCTTTCTGCAGCTCCTCCGAGAGGGAGGTGGAGTGACGAGCCAGGAGAACCTCTGGAAACCTCTTCTTCTGGCTGCGATGCGATGCCGGCAGACAGCAAAGAGGCGCACCGGTTGAGGATGACGTCAGCTGCCCTGCAGAGGGAGCGTACGTCTCCTCCCACCTCTGAACGTGTACGCCAACAGCATAACGTGTTGTTCGCTGCGGCCGCCTGGAAACGCATGCTGGTGAGCTCGGTTGGAGAGCGATGTCACCGTCTGGTTACGCTAACCAGAGGCGTGGAACCCTGGTCCAACTTGGACATCTTGCTCCAAGAAAAGCCTCCGTCAGGCTCGGCTCCCGGGGGCACTGAGGGAATTTTCGCTCGGTGAACCCCTCCACTCTGGTGATGGACGCGGATGTGGGAACCGGCGCCCTATTCTATCAGGACCGGCTGCAGCCTCGTCCCAGAAGGACGTCACTGCTGGGAAAGCAAGGCCAGATGGGGATCAGGGCGACAAGCCAGAGTGGAGCCCAGAAACCTTTCCGCTGGATCATCCGAAACTGGCGGGGGAGGCGAGGGACGTAAAAAAGGTCCCTTCATGTCAGCCGCCTCCTGGATTAAGCCGGGCAAACTCCAGAGGGCGCTGGTGGCTGGGAGCGGTGTGGTCGCCGATGCGAAACAGTGTGAGGGGGGTGAGCATTCGCTCAGCCCCCCCTCTACTGACACTATGCTCTCCAGGAGGGAATGAGCAGCGGGGGCTGCTGCTGACGTCGCCTGTCCCGGAGGAACCATCTGATTCGCTCTGAGGGTCGGCGATAAGAGGAAAATTACAAGATGGCGTCGTCCAGAGTGTAGCGACCTGTCACTGAGAAATACTCCTCGGCGCTTACCTTGAAACAAGACTGCTCGTCTGCTTCCCCTCGGGGAGGAGAACTCACCGGGATAACAGAAGTTTGGCGTAACGGGCCAGGCAGTCTAACAAAGGTTGTTCAGCTATACAACTTTCCTTCTTCGTTCTTCTGACAGTGCTATTAGCTTGCTGAAGAAAAATGGGAGCTGATTACCCATTCTTAACGTAATTTATACGGACCGGGTGGGGCCCACACAGCAGGTGGGCGTGGACAAAACTTTTCAGTGTAATGCTTCGCATAACAGGATAAAACCCATCAGCGACAGCCTTAAAGGGCGAAGCCTATATGAAATAGAACTACTTCTCACAGGAGGAGGAGTACTGATGCACATAAATATGATGCACATACATATGTGTGTGAAATCTGGTTCCATAAATATAGTAGACTGTGTAAGAGAGCCTGAAGACAGAGCAAAAATCCTGGGACTGGTTTGCAGAATTATTGAGTTGTATGTAAAATTTGATTTCTACAGCATCCATCCACCCATCTCTTTTGTTCTTAGTGAGACCTTTCTTTATTCATTGAACACATTTGTTTTGTTTTTTTAACAATCTAAAAATTGTGACTTTCACTTTAACACAGCAGAAGCCCCCTCCCCCTAATTCCCTGGCTACTGAAAAAGAGGAGGAGGGGTGGAGCTAAACATGGGCAGGTTCTTAGACTCTATGGCGTGGCTCATCTAATGTCCATCCATCCATCCATTCATCATGTTTCCTTGCTTCTTCCTATTTGGATTGTGGTGGTCACTGGTGCCCATATCCAGCTTTCACTGTGTGAGAAGTGGGAAAACCCAGAACAGGTCTCCAGTCCATCACAGGGTCACATAGAGACAAACAAGACAAACAACCATTCACTCTCTCAGTCACACCTAGGGACAATTTAGAGTTACCGATCAGACTAACATGCATGTCTGTGGGACGAAACCGGAGTACCTGGAAAAAACTCATGCATGCACGGAGTTATTGCAAGAGGGCCTCCTTTGCTCTGTCACCAAACTCTGCTGCCTTTGCGAAGGCGATGCTAGACTGAGGGGATCAAAATGTCAGACTCCTGGCTGGGGAACAGAGGAGGAGAATATCCCAAGGATGCTTTGAAAGGGGACAAGCAAACCAGTAGCTGAGGAGGTGTGCATATTCTGCCCAAGGTAAATGCTGACACAAAGTGGAGGGACTGTACTCAATCACACACCTTATGGCAGCTTCCAGATCCTTATTACATCACTCAGATTCAGGTTCCTCCATGAAAGACTTGCTGCTGGGATTGAAACAGTCCAAAAAGTATTCACAGGCCAGCAACATCATTGAATGAGGTCTACAGCACCCCACCTCCACTATACACTGTATGGTTAAAGTGCTGCTTTCCCTGACTCTGCTACCTGATGATTTGCCAGAATCTCCTCAAAGTTTCAGAGCTGATCGAGTCTCTGTCCAAGGCCTCACCAAACTCCTCCCACATCTGAGCCTTTTCCTCAGCAACAGCCAGGACTGTAGCCCGCTTGGCTACCAGTCAACAAGGCCCAATAGGACTGTAAAAAATTTAAATCTGGTCCTCTGGACACTCAAAAAAAAAAAAATTTGTAGAAACATTTCGTCTTTCATCTGAAAGACTTCTTCAGTCTGAGGTGCTGTATTCAGCTCAGTCTCTTAAATAGCACCTTCTCAGAGTGGATCAACCAGTTTGTTGCTGCCAACCAAAACCAGCTGCTCACATGGTCAAGAAGGACCATCAGCCTAACAATGGATCATTAGCACCTGATGGCTGTTTACTGTTCACAGAGGGCTGAGTGATACTAGCAATCACAGCATTGTAAGAGGGGGACAGTTGAACCTGGAGGCCTCCACCCCTGTTTAATGATGGACTATTTCTTTTCACAAAGATGGCCTCCTTTACTCCTCTCTCAAACCATCGTTCTTCTCTATCCAGGATGTGCACATCTTCATCCCTGAAAGAGTGACCGCTGGCCTGGAGATGAGTGTAGACCGCAGAGTCCTGGCCTGATGATGTTGATCTTCTGTGCTGGTCCATCCTTTTGGCCAGTGGCTGTTTAGTTTCCCCGATGTAAGACTGATCACCCTCCTGACACTGAACAGCATACACAACATTACTCTGTTTGTGCCGGGGGACTGGATCTTTGGGATGAACCAGTCTTTGTCGTAATGTATTTTGGGGTTTAAAAGCCACTGGGACGTTATGTTTAGAAAATAAACGTCTCAGTTTCTCTGATACTCCCGTGTGTCCTGATGCCATGTGTACTTAGTGGTGGCTCCTGAAAATAAAATATTAGTGGGGTGGACATTAAATTCCTGAATTTTTTTATTTTTTATTTTTTTTACAATCTGCCTTACATTTTATGTGATTAAAAAAATGATATACAGTATGTTGCTTAATATTAAAATTATTTATTTATTTTGTATGTGTGTGTCTACAAAGTAAGTTGAACACTAGTCTGAACTGAAATGACAATTTATTACCTTTGGGGTTGCAGCATTCTAGTACTCTTCCAACTTCTGTTAGTATCTAAGAACTACATGTAGCAAAGCAGGAGCATAGGTGACAGGTAGTAAAACTGTAAGTAGAACCTAAAATAAGAAAACCTATTGCTGAAAGAGCGGACATGCTGATACACATTTAATTTTTTTAAAAACCTAGGAAAAGATTTTTAAATTGATTAATTTTTTTCAGAATTTATAAAATGTGCAAATATAAGTTGTAGTAGTACACTGTCACCAACTGGAGCAATCATTTTGATACATGAATGTTTAAAACATAAGTAAATGGAAGTGGTTTGACTTCAAAAGGCATACAGAACAAATTATAAACAGGAAAACAGGAGTGTGGACTCTCACTTAGTATTCGCGGACACAACATAACGTAAAATTAACTCAATATGACCTCAATTTGACCACAATAGCCCACCATGCCTCCAGAGTGAATAGAATCATCTGTCTATAAGACTATCTTTGTCCGGACCGTTCCTTGTCAGTCCGAGGGAGTGAGTCATCTCGCAGTAAGACGACCTCTGAAGTCAAGTCAGCTTTCTTTTGGCAGGATGGCAGCAGGCGGCATGTGGAGGTCATTGGTAAGGAAACAAAGCATTGATTATTGGTGAAAACCTTCTAACAGAGTGATTATCTCTTCTCGTCAGGGCTGTTAGGGTGTGTTTGTGTGAGCTGCAGTGTTTGGCTTATTTTGTGGCTTTCTATTTTCACTCCACCGTTAGCATGTTAGCTGTTAGCCTGCAGCCCGTGTCCTTCAGCGTGAAGTTGTAGCTGACACGACTTCATCCAGAAACTCACTTCCACCTCCCTCATCAGTCTGAGTTTGTCCCTGTGTTGTTGTTTTTTAATCAAGAAGAATAGTTTGTTTTTTAACCTTTGCTGAAATGAAATTAGACCAAACTCCATAATTGTTAAATTGATCTTTTTTGTTTGTTTGTTTTAAAGACAGGCGGACATTAGAATACAAAGAAATTGAAGGAATTCAAATTCGGCACACATTAAACTTGTCTTTTTAAGCAGTTGTATTAATGCCATACTGGCTGTGTTAGATGAGTATTTTGGCAGCCATATTGTGAGGAGCTACCTGCATCACTGAATACCACACCTTTTCATTGTTTTCAGTTAGTGAGGTTAATAAATTGTTAAGAGTCTTTGTTCTACCTTTGCTGAAGGGAGGAGACCCACCTCACTGAACAACTATCTACCAAGCTCTAAACTGTATTTTAGCCAAGGTTCTAGAAAAGTAAAAAGTATTTGGATTCATTCTTTTAACATCTTACCGCCCAATCAGTCTGGTTTCAGGAAACAACCCAGCACAACGACTGCTTCGCTGAAGGTTTTTAACAATGTCGATGAAGCACTGGATGCTAAGAATTATTGTGCTGCTCTTTTTTTAGACCTGTCTGAAGCTTTTGACACACTGGACCATGACATCTTATGTCATAACCTCTCAGAAATTGGTTTCTCAGATAACACTGTTGGTTGGTTCTAGGGTGGGAAATCGGCCGATACTTGCATGGGAAACCGATTTTACCGATTTTTATTTTTATTTTTTTAGTTTTAACAGCAATTGTCTGAACTTCATTTATATTTCAGAGCACTACCTCATGGCCAGTTAAAACAAGTTTGTATTGTTTCTAGGATATCGTTCAAGGGTATGTTTTTCAATAAAAAAGATTGGAAAATTGAAGGTGCATTGTGACCTGATAACACCTGACAGTGTCGCTTATGAAACAAAATTGGTATCGGCCAAAATCGGAATCGGCAGGTCAGACTTTTTAGAAATCGGTGATCGGCCAGAAAACTGCAATCGGTGCACCCCTAGTTGGTTCACTAACTATTTCTCAGATTGGAGGCAGTGTTTTCAACATAATGGTACTTCTTCCAGTTATTTAACTGTTAACAATGGTGTACCACAAGGCTCAGTCTTAGGACCCACCCTCTTCACAATCTACACAGGTAAAGTAGGTCAGGGTTACAGTGCTCGGTTATTTATAACTTAATATCGAATGTATTTATAAATTAATATGACATAATCCTCACCTTTGAAACAGATATGCCACACCGCCAATGCAAGAGTTGGGGGTTCGAATCCACCAGCAGTCACATGCTGAAGTGTCCCTGGGCAAGACACTGAACCCCTCATTGTCTTCGATGTGTGTCCCATCGGTGTATGAATGTGATAAAGCTCTGATTAGTCTAGAATGATTTGTTCAATTAGCTTTGTAGAGATCTAGCAGACTGCTGTGTGAATGGGTACATGAGGACACAGATTGTAGTGTAAAGCGCTAAGCAATAATATTTTAATCTTAAAAATGTAGTTAAGTCTGGATTTAAACTTAAAGTTCTCAAATAAAATTATAAAACCCAACTGTCAGTCATTAGTAGGTGTAAGAGTTCAGTAAAGGATTATTTTAACTACCGGTAAATCTAAATGTACATAAAAATCATGAATAAAAGCAAAAGTTTCATTCCAACAACTGAACACCCAAATAAGGTTTTATGCATTATTATTATGAAATATAACTAATTTAACACTCGGGTCTTATTTTGCTATTTTCATAGCTGTTTGTATGTTGACATGTTTTCTTGTGAGCTGCTGTGAGTTTGAAAACGTGGTTTAAGTTTTACATCATCTTGGCTCAGGACAGTCTGCGGTTAGACCACCACATGTGGATGGAAAGGGGTCCAGGCCGCCTCCCAAAGTGTTCGGAGGGAAAACTTCATTTAATCTTATATTTCCTGAACGAGGTCGTACTGAAGACGGTGGTGTGATCAGCCTCCTGTAGCAGACTACTCTTAGTGACCTTGGTGTTGTTCCTCTTCAGGTGAGCCAGGTGCTGGGCGGGGCAACAAGAAGACCTGCTCTGTTCTCTGCCTCCTTCTCCAGAGGGGTGAGTCCTTCAGGGACACCAACCTGAACCTGACACCACCCAACATGTTTGTACTTTCTGTAGCGTAGGGGAGGTTTTATTTTATGCACAGTAACATAAGTTATCTTGAAACTGAAAATTCATATCTGGTTTACGTCTAAAGATATACGTTTAAACACTTTTATCTGATGCCTGTGTGTTTTAGTTTTAATTAGGGATGCTCAATGTTGGATTTTTGGCCTATATCCGATTATGTTAAAACTTATTTGTCCAATAACCAATACCGATATTATTTCCTAGACCTACTTACAGAGACTACATATCTTTTTCTCTGCTGTGGAATTGAAATACTACATGATTCTTCATGGTCTTTGTCAGTTTGGCCTGCTACCAAATGCAGATGCCAAAAAGAGGGGCTGAAAATGATGCAACACTTCAACTTGGATTATGTTTAATGTCAAATTTATTCATGACGTTTACTCTCTCTAACACAACGACAACACTCGAACAGTTCAAATTTGTACATTTTCACAAATCTAAACTCAACAGTGCACGTGATGTCATAACGTTGTGCTGGCGCTGCAGGCATCCATGTCACTGGGCTGTCATACAAAAACAGCATCTTTTTTATCAGTGAATTATTTTAATTGAATGGCCCATATTTAACTTTATCGCCAATATCGGCTGATACGATACCATGTCGATAATATTGTGCATCCCTAGTTTTAGTGACGTAAAAATATAACAAAACATTTCATACGGTTTTAGAAAACAAGTCATAAAGTTCACTTAACAAAAGTTTTATTTTACCTCGTGTACTTTAGCACATCAGGATGTCTCAGAGGAGGAACGGTTTAGTGCTGTGTCATCAACTGTAGTCTCGTTTTTTTGTTTTACTTTGTAGACACATTGATGTAGGTGAATTGAACGGCTTTGTTTGTGTACAGATGCAGACCGTCACTTTGATTCCTGGAGATGGAATCGGTCCAGAGATCTCTGCTGCTGTTGTGAAGATCTTTGATGCAGCTAAAGTGAGTTTGATCCCAGCTGAGAGCAGAAACTGGATCTCCACTCCAGGAAACTGTAAACTGATCAGTTTTTACCTGCAGGCGCCTATCAGATGGGAGGAGAGGAACGTCACAGCGATAAAAGGACCCAGTGGGAGATGGATGATCCCTCCTGACGCCAAAGAGTCCATGGACAGGAGCAAAATCGGCCTGAAAGGTCAGTTTATTCATCCTGAGGTGCTGTTTGTCTTCTGGAAGCTCTCGGCTCATCACTGGTGTCACGGCTTCCTGCAGGACCCTTGAAGACACCCATTGCTGCTGGCCATCCCTCCATGAACCTGCTGCTCAGGAAGACCTTTGACCTTTACGCCAATGTGCGGCCCTGCATCTCCATCGAAGGCTACAAGACACCGTACACCGACGTAGACCTTGTCACCATCCGGGAAAACACGGAGGGCGAGTATAGTGGCATTGAGCATGTGGTGAGTGGACGGAGGCGAAGAAATAACTTCACTGTGTTTAAACTGTCAGTTTGTTTCATTTCTGAAGATTAATGTAACTAGATCTCCTCTGTAGTTTGCACTGTCCGCCACTTTGTTGGTGAAAGACAGAAGAGCCGTGATAATGTTTTATCCGGTGTGCATTCGTCTGTTAGTAATATATCTCATGAACAACAGAACAGATTTTAATGAAACTTTCTGGAAATCACACATGGGTTAAAGTTCTCCATCACTGTGATGGATTTCCGTCATTTTGAACCTGGTCAGGACAGATTTCTGTCATCCTGTAAAAATGAGGATGGTGAAGAAAAGGTGTTGTGGACTTAGTAAAACCATCCAATCCAAAAATTTTACAGGGATTCAACTGACACTACTTTCAACCAATAAAGAGAACCAGTGCCACAGTTTGAGCCAATCAGAGCAGAGCAGGGTGGGGCCTGCTGTCTGGTTCATGGTGAGCCAGGGTGTGAGCAGCAGAGACAAATTGTAGGTGAAAGCTCACCTGCAGTCCAGCAAGCCAAGGAGGACACCCCGCCCCTTCATGAAGGTGATGGCATGTAATAAATTATTAATCATCTTCATATTAAACGTGTTTGCACGTGACCAATTCACTGCAGCTGGGGAAGATACCAGAACTGATGCACCATCACCCCACCCCTTCTTCTGCACCACACCCTGACCTCCTCAGGACTTTGTTTTAATCTTTAAATCTTTATCTTTTTTTAAAATCTAACTTTGTATTAAATGTTAATTTGTTCAGAGGGTCGCCATTGTACAGGCATGTTCATCTTGTGCGCGAGACCAAACTCCGGGTCAGACAGAGACGTGCACCGCCGTGCGAGCGCGCAGCCTGTTGAGTTTCTCTCACGGTGAGAGAGACCGTTTCTGATGCTTTAGTTGTTCTAAACAAATATTGAGGCTAGACAAATATTTATGTGTCCCAGATTATAGCAGAGACGTGTGTCTCTGTTCAACTTTTGATTTTCCCCCCAAAACTCGTGAGAGAGGCGGAGCGCTACGTCTGTAGCTTTTTAGCTAGTACATCTGTATTACGCGCTACCTGTATGCCAGCAGTTGTCGGTGGGGGTGGGGGGTGAAGAGCATTTCGGTTGGCAGGACGCTCGGTTCTATTGACAGGGTGAGGCGCCCTCCTTGGATTACGGTAGGGGAATCACTGATGTTGGTCTGGATGATGCTTCAGATTATCTTTATTGCCATTCAACATAACATCAGAGATGCACTGCAGAACAAAATTATGTTGCAAATTGGTCACAAACATAAACCAGCTGGATAAACTATAAAAAGAGTATAAAAGAAGAATAAAAACAATTAAAAATATAGAAATAAATAGAATAAGAAGAATAAGAACCAGATTTAAAAAATGGGGAGGCTGTATACATATAAGTGCAAACTTTTGCAATTTGTACAAGAAATGTATCATGAATAATTTGTGCAAACAATCAATATAACGGGTAGATGAAATAATATTATAGTCTTGGATTATTTCGAATGATTCAAAAGTCTAATGGCGGTTGGATCGAAGCTGTCATGGTGCCTTACTGTTCTGCATGACAGGCTGCGGTATCTTCTGCCTGAGGGTAGGAGAGAGAACAGTCCATGACAGGGGTGAGAGGGGGGTCCCTGGCGATTCTTGTTGCCCTTAACAGTTAGTGTGGTTTTGCCAGGTCCCCAATGGGTGGCAGCGTGACCCCAATAAACTTTTCCTTAGAGAACACTATACTGTGTAGTTTTACTGTACTGTGTACTTTTACTAAGGTCATGTACACAGTTTACTGTGTACTTTTACTAAAGTAATATACACAGTGTACTGTGTACTTTTACTAAAGTAATGTACACAGTGTACTGTGTACTTTTACTAAGGTCATGTACACAGTG